TGCGCATGTCTCCAGCAGAAAAAGACACTGTTCTGCTGCAAGTAGTGAAATATGCAGCAGAAAACGGTAATTGAGCAGCAGAAAGAAAGTTTGGACTGGCGAAAAGCGGGGATGGAGAACACAGCTTCACAGTAACCGGGAGACCGGGAAGTCCATGCCTGGACTTCAGTGACAACCAAAGTTGCGCAGAGTTGCTCAGAAGTGACACCAAGGATGAAGGAATTCACTGGATTTAGTGATTTGGAGTGAGATCGAGAGTTCAGTAAACTTACGTTATGTTGTCTATGCTGTAGTTATCAGAACAACTGTTAATATGTTACGTTAACAAACCAGACGCCTGTTCAGTCTGTTGTTCTTTACTCTATTATTATTACTTTAACTTGCCTTTTAAGATGAAATGTCAGTTCCTGGTCCCTGATTTTATAAAATAAATTTTGACCTATACATGTTTTTTTCGTATTCATTATGCATTTTTTGGCTGGTGCAACTTATACTCCGGAGTGACTTATAGTCCGAAAAATACAGTGTGTATCGTATCGGCAACTTAATAATGATACCCAGCCCTAGTATTGAGTAGTGTCTATTTCTTAAGAAATTGAGTTTGAAATTTTTGTATTGTGACAACACTGGTTTGTTTTCAGACGTCAGATACTGGTAGTAGGTACTTTTGAGCAACAAGGGTTTCAGGAAACTCGTCATCACCTGGGCTTGGTCTCTGAATGACTACTGTTTACTTGACTTGAGTGATAGATTTTTTTTTTATTATTATTATTATTATTCTTGTTCCTGTGTGCAAGTCTTTCTGTGACAAAAGCTAAGTCCATAAAGGGAGTGGGGAAGTGTATTGTTCAAATAAAATAATCTTTTAATACTCGATTCAATATTAAAAGAAAAGGCTGCTTCAGGACACAATGTAAACCCCATTATAGTAATAATCGTCGCTTTAACTTCAGCTTTTTCAGAAGTAGAAAGACCATATGGTAAAGAAAAGACTAGTTCTATCGAGTTTGGTACGAGTTTTACGAGAATAGATGACGTTCTGCAAAGCTATTCATTCGCTAGTCCAAAAAAGTCTTTATTAAGTCACGTTCAAGTGTAACAGCCAAACCTTTTCATTGTTAGTAAAAATATATATATATAATTCTGACATAAATATCGAAAGATTCACTCACTATTGGTAGTTTTCCAATTTGAGAATGTGATTGTGTCATGCTCCCAGACGCAGGACAAGAGCCAGAGTTCCCTAACAATTACACGGTCATTTCATAAGTCATATTTTGAAGCTGATCAGGTTTTTTTTTTTTTTTTTTTGTGACAAGACCCCAGAACTCACTGTATTATTAAAACAAAAGGACCGGCGCAGACTTACACGCTGTTTAGACCTGGTTTAGACCTGGGTCAGTTCTGGTTTAGTCCTGGTTTAGTCCTGGTTCAGTCCGGATTCAGCTCTGGTTGAGTTTTGGTTCAGCTCTGGTTCAGTCCTGGTTTAGACCTGGTTTAGACCTGGTTTAGACCTGGTTTAGTCCTGGTTTAGACCTGGTTTAGTCCTGGTTTAGACCTGGTTTAGTCCTGGTTTAGACCTGGTTTGGACCTGGTTTAGACCTGGTTTAGCCTGGTTCAGCTCTGGTTAGTCCTGGTTTAGAACTGGTTTTAGACTGGTTCAGTCCTGGTTCATCTCTGGTTTAGTCCTGGTTCAGCTCTGGTTAGTCCTGTTCAGCTCTGGTTTAGTGGTTAGACCTGGTTTAGACTGGTTTAGACCTGGTTTAGACCTGGTTTAGACCTGGTTTAGACCTGGTTCAGCTCTGGTTCAGTCCTGGTTTAGACCTGGTTTAGACCTGGTTTAGACCTGGTTTAATCCTGGTTTAGACCTGGTTTAGACCTGGTTCAGCTCTGGTTCAGTCCTGGTTTAGAACTGGTTTAGAACTGGTTTAGTCCTGCTTCAGATCTGGCTTAGTCCTGGTTTAGTCTTGGTTCAGCTCTGGTTTAGACCTGGTTTAGACCTGGTTTAGTCCTGGTTTAGACCTGGTTTAGACCTGGTTTAGACCTGGTTTAACCCTGGTTTAGACCTGGTTCAGCTCTGGTTCAGCTCTGGTTCAGTCCTGGTTTAGAACTGGTTTAGAACTGGTTTAGAACTGGTTTAGAACTGGTTCATCTCTGGTTTAGTCCTGGTTCAGCTCTGGTTTAGTCTTGGTTCAGCTCTGGTTTAGACCTGGTTTAGACCTGTTTAGACCTGGTTTAATCCTGGTTTAGACCTGGTTTAGACCTGGTTTAGACCTGGTTCAGCTCTGGTTCAGTCCTGGTTTAGAACTGGTTTAGTCCTGGTTTAGTCCTGGTTTAGTCCTGGTTCATCTCTGGCTTAGTCCTGGTTTAGTCTTGGTTCAGCTCTGGTTTAGTCCTGGTTTAGTCTTGGTTCAGCTCTGGTTTAGTCCTGGTTTAGACCTGGTTCAGACCTGGTTTAGTCCATAAATGGCGCAAAAGTTCAGCATCTTTGCAGTTATTTTGGTGAGAGTAACTTAAAAGCGCTGCAATAGTCGTAGAGTATTTTACATTTTAAAACACAGTAATCTTGTAAAGTAACGAATTGCTTTCAAATGACAGAAACAAGTCATAAATAAATAACACATTACAGTTTTAAAGTAACAGTGGATACTCAGCCACAGAGCTACTTAGTTGGTAATGTAATAACTACTGAGCCATTTATTTCTACTCACGTTTTAGTTAAAATACTCAAACTTCAGCGCTATTTAAATCACTTTATCTATTGCCATGTTACCTGTCGCTTTTCAGGGTGTGTCGTACGAACTACATAAACTAAACTCTGAGTAAACAAACCGATATATCGCAACGGCCCGAGCTCCATTCTGCTTTCGAGGGCTGCAGCTGACAAAAGACATTCTCGGTTAACCAAAGACACACATCCCGCCGATTGATTAGTCAACTACAAAAAAGGCGCAGAAAAAGCTCTCAAAACTATTACGTATTTCTATGTTTCTGACGCAAACTGCGCTCACAAGATGACACCTGCAGGGGGAGCTCATGCAAAAAATACAATTTAAAAAGAAAAAAAGTACTACGAAATAAAACGTATTCATATAAAAGTCAGATTATAAGGCCAATTTTACACTATTTTCCGATCAAAGTTATAATATTTTGTGTTTTCATGTGTGTTTTGATTGACTGACACATACTTCACTTACTCCCCCGAAACTGAAAACATTCCGTTCCACCTTGTGATGTCATGCGGTAATACAGGAAGTGCTCCACTGTCTTTAAACTGCATACACCTTCACCAGAATAATTTGGGTGATTTCAGACCTGGAATTTCCCTTCTCCCCTTAACAAAAAGTAAAAGGTAGCTAAGAAAACAGCCACTATCATGACATCACAAGGTGGATCTGAGCATTTTAAGCTTTGGAGATGTACACAGACTAATAATAAATAAAAGAGTTAAATCAAATAAAGGGTGAGAATGAACCAAAACACAACTCCAGGTCTGTTTTTGATAAAACATTATAACACGATTTAAAGCTCTTAAGAGTCATTTTTGTGTACTATACAACATTTAAACTTCAGAATCACAAGTTTAATCTGCTTTTTTACAAATAAAATACCAAAAAATAGCAAATCTTTAGCCAACTCTTTCACTCAGTAACTTCTCCTTTCTGCTATTGTCCTATATAAATCAGTATAACCTACCGTATTTTCCGCACTATAGGGGCTCTGGATTATAAGGCGCACTGTCATTGAATGGTCTATTTTTCCCGTTTTTTCACATATAAACCGCACTGAACTGTAAGGCGCATTAACTCTCAACTTTGTTCAATTGTAACGTGTAAAAAAAAAAAAAAACTGTCTGAGCCACTAAATTGTTCGCGTATTCACAATCATTTGTTCAAACAGTTTACGATTACGGCGTCCAACACGCCCGTATCCCTCTCGTCATTATCCGAGTCAGTGTGGTTCCTGTTCCCTGGAGTTCAGTTCAGTGATGATTCGGGTCTTGGTGAAAGCTCGGACCACAGCTGATACTGATCCTTAGCCCGGGCGTCCACGATCCATTGGCAGATCGTGGCGTAAGTCGCTCGGCACTCTCTCTCTCTGTCTTGATGAATGTGTTAGTCCGATGAGGTTCATTTGGTCTTCCGATAATTTATGTTATTGGGTTATTTTTTCAGACCAGGGGATTGTTTTCATGCCTGACAGTTTCGACAGTTCACTAGCGTCCTTCCTCAGAGTCACGTGATGCTGCTGTGACGTGTCCAGTCAGCTGATTTAAACAGATTTTGGCGCGGTCTTCCTACCAATCTTCCTACCAGTATCCCAAGTGTGTCAGTTTTTTTACTCTCACACACCTGGGATGCTGTCCTGAGGAAGTGGGACTGCAGGTGGCACTGTCGTCCTGCCTCCACCGGTAGGAAGACAGCGCCAAAACCTGTTTAAATCAGCTGACCAGACACGTCACAGCAACATCACGTGACCACTCTGAGGAAGAAGCGCTAGTGAGCAGTCGAAACTGTCAGTTATGAAAACAAACCCTTGGTCTGAAAAAAGAACCTAATAACATAAACATTGGTGAATGTGTGTTCTCCTTCTCTCATCCACTGCTCCCACGCAGCTCGCACTTTTACTTTAGAACAGCCTTGAGTTTAAAGTGGGCGTTGTGCGCGTGTCTCTTGACAGGTGTATTTTGATATTAAAAGGAATCACAGTATGTATTACTCCTGATGCTAATGCTGCAAGTGGAGCGGCTTTGTACTTTACTAAAGTCATACTAAGACACTCCAATAAATTAATATGTAAGGCGCTCTGGATTATAAAAGCGCGCACTCGTTTTTTGATGAAATTAAAGGCTTTTAAGTGCGCCCTATAGTGCGGAAAATACGGTAAATAAAAGAATTAATCAACCAATAAAATGTTGGTCGACTAAGAAACCATCAACTGACCAATTAAATGACAATATAAGACTACGGGACTTCAGCCCAGTGTCTTCATGGACGTACCTTCAGCTACAAGCTCCTCCACGGTGACTTGGTAGCGACCCACGGCAAACACTTTCCCGAAGTAGCTGCTGACTCCGGAGCTCGCCCCGGAGCCGGACGAGCCACCCAGACCTCCACTCTCCGACCGGGGCATCCTGGAGAACTTCTTCATCCTGTCTCCACCTAGTCCACAAAAGAAACCAGTCCCAAATTTATCTTCTGGTATGACCCTCGTCTCCTATCTACTTATCAGATATCTCGTCTTTTTCTGCATGCTCCAGTCTTTTTACAGAGAGATTTACACTTTTTTTTTTTTTTACGGGTCCAGCGTTAATAGTGTCAAAACGCGGGTCGCAAAGGTCGCAAGTGGTGTTGTAGGCTAAATGAGTCAAGAGTTACTCCTAAAAAAAAATGGCTTAAAATCAAAAATTAAAAGCGTAAAAAATTATAAGATACGCTTCCGTTGGCTGTAGATCCCGTTTCGTGGAGTCGGAATGATTTGCGGTCGCGTTCCGATGCGCAATCCGACGGGTCCAGCGCAATAAAATCAAAACACGGGTCGCAATCGGCGTTGTGGGCTAATGTGATTTAGCCTAAAACGAGCCAAAAACAGCGTGCGTTCAAGAGTTTATTGTCGAAAACGGCGTAAAATCACACGTTCGGAGTGGGAAAATGAGCGTTGGCGGTGAGATGCGGTTCCGTCGGGTCCGCACGCCGCTCGGGTCGACTCGCACTCGGACTCGTCTCCACTCCTCTCGGGGGCGAAGCTAGTCGTTGCTAATCGGCGGCTAACGACATTCACGCCGCTCCCACCTCGAAACGAACAACCGCGGCGTGCGTGGAGGGAAACCCGCGGCCGGCGCTCGCTCGTCGCTCCGTCGCTCGTCGCTCACAAAGTCCCCGTTGAGGTTTGGCGTGACCGCGGGCGCATTTTGGACAAAGTTTGTGGCGGATTTTGGCCCCCACGGCAGCGCCAGTGCAGAGAGGAGGGGGCTCGCTAAAACACGGGCATTTCGAACGGGGGCGGGACTTAACTCGCTACGTCACGCACACGTATAACGCACACATATAAAATAATAAAAAAATAAAAAAAAAATTTTAATAAAAAATAAATAAATAAAATAATGAAAATAAATAAATCAATAAATAAAAATAAATAATAATAATAATATAACATTACTGCAACTCTTATTACACCTACTCTGATTACTACTACTATTGCTATTACTACTCATACTACTCTTACTCTGACTACTACTACTACTAGTACTCCTGTTCCCACTACTACTACTACTCTTACTGCTACTGCTACTGCTCATACTCCTACTACTACTACTACTACTACTACTACTATTGCTATTACTACTCCTACTACTCTTACTCTGACCACTACTACTACTACTACTCCTACTACTATTCCTGTTCCCACTACTACTACTACTGCTACTGCTACTACTCATATTCCTACTACTACTCATACTACTTCTTCTACTACTACTACTACTCCCACTACTTCTACTACTACTACTACTACTCCTACTACTTCTAGTACTACTTAGACTACTTAGAAGTTAAAAAAAAAAAAAAAAACATTTATTAACTTTACAAATTAACATGCTTCAAAATGGAAAAGCAACAACAAAAATATCAGATTGTAGTGAATTGCACTGTAATTTATTTATCTATCAATTTTATGTTGTTTTGGAAAAATCGTTTTATATATTTAATATTTATTGTGATTTTAGCCAAGCGTGATGGATGAATTTAATTGTTTATAGAACAAAACCATTCTGCACTGGAGCACTGTAACACTTTATTTTGTAATTGTGTTTTTATACGTGTTTATTGTACGTAATGTCAAATCTGCAAAAGAAATTTACCTATGGGTATGAATAAAGCAACCTAACCCAACTCAGATTTCATTTAATTTAACATTTTTTATTTTTTTGTCACAGTGAGAAGTTTAGTATATTTATTTTGTATAGACCCTTTTAAAAATTGTAAACAAAAACATTCTAAACCCCGGAATGGAGGCAGCTGGAGGTAATAGTGAAGAGGACCATAATGTGATTTTCATTGGATAACTAGGATTAATTTCAGAATATCAAAATTCAAATTATGGAAAATCAAGGACAATTTGGAAAATGAAAACCGCTCAGATAAATGTGAATGATATCAGAGTCCAGTTTTAAAACACTTATAACTGTGTTTTACATTATTTGTTTATTTGACAAGAGTTTATGATACACACTAAGCATTTTTACTAGGGCTGGTATCATTAAGAAGCTGCAGATACGATACATACCTCGATACACTTTTGATTCAATACGATATATTTCAAATCGATTCGATGTGGTTCAGTAAAAAAATTGTTGCTAAATCATGTCTGTGATACTAAAAGTTTTTTGTTAAACCACTTCTTGTGCAAAGTTCATATGAAACACAAACATTTTAATCATCAAAACAGTGAAAATGTCAAATGTGTCGCATAAACGAGTTTCCTTCCTCTGAACAAACAACAAAACTGTAGCTGTAACAAAATAATTTAGTCAAATATACCAAAAAAATACTCTTGGTGATATATCGATACAGCAGCCCACGATATCGATACTGTATCATCACATTAAACAGTATGATGTATTGATATTTCAATATTTTTGCACATCTCTGATTTTTACAAAGGCAAAATCCACATTTTGAGGTTTTACTCGACAAATCATCACAGAAATGTTGAGCCCACAACAGTTTTTCACTTCATCTACAGATATATTACACATTTCATCATAGATTATCTGTTTTGTGAAGCCCAAGTTCTATTCTAGGATTAGAAAACTGTTTTTTTCTATTTTTTGTACCTTTGTACCTTGAAATTTCAAAATTGTTTCTCATTTTTAGTTATAATGTTATAAAGCATTAGTATTTAGGTCTGCTTTTCAGTTAATTACTGTAAATATTATGTTAGTTTCATTTTTCCTCCACTTGCCTCCATCCCAGAATTTTGAACATTCTGACGACATAAGATTTAAAAGGGTTTATTTTTGTCCTGGTGAAAAGTTTAATATATTTATTTTGTCAGGGGGAACAGATTTTCAAAAATTCTAAACTGGGACACACCTGGGTTGAGATCGTTGCTATAAATAAAACAGTGAAAAGAGCGTCAAACATTGTGGGCTTTGGTGTCAGTCATGATCTGAGGGGCTTCTGTCACTGCATTTTTTTTTGCTTGTTTTATGGTCATTCGCAAACACGATTTTCTGTATTTTAGCCAAACAAATTACAATTTATGCTCTTCTTTAATGTCGGCGGGGATCAGATTATTCAAAAAATGGTAATAGTCCTGGTTTAGACCTGAGGTAGTCCTGGTTTTGTCTTAGTTTAGTCCTGGTTTTGACCTGGTTTAGATCAAATTGGTCAAAAATAGGGACACCTAGGACATTTCTTGTATAAAACTACTCAACTACTGCTCAAACTACTCTCAAAAGCAAGTGTGTGTTAGCAGACATGGAGTCAACTTATAGAATAGTTTAGATCAGGGGTGTCCAAACTTTTTTCATCAAGGACCAATATCTAAAGACAGACAAAGCAGAAGGCCGATCGAGGGTCATAGACTGGTGCTGAATACAGTGAATAATTAAAATATGTGCAGGTTTAACACGTTAGAATGAATAAAGATTGATGGCTCATTCTAAGATCCTTAAAACCACACACTAAATATTGAATATTAGCTTTCTCAAGGTAGATTTTCAAAAAACATGCAGTAAAAAGTTAATTTTTATTGATGCAAAGCCATTTGGGCCAATTCACCTGGAAGCCTGAGGGCCAAGAAAAATTTGTCTGAGGGCCGCATTTGGCCCCCGGGCCATAGTTTGGACATGCCTGGTTTAGATGATCATATCAAAGCTTCAAACTGTATAAAACAATATCAAAATCAAATCTTACAGAAATACGTAGAAGACCAAATCCATTGTCTTCACAAGTAAAACATGACTTTTGGCTGAGCACGTGCTTTTCTTTGACATTTCCTTTTGTTTTGGTGCGATTGTGGATGAGGAATTTTGTGCCTTTTTATCATTATTGTTGGTTTGTGCGACTGTAAACAAAAACAAAACTGGCATCTTAAAAAAATTAAGAAAAAAAAAAGATAAAGGAGATTTTAAAAAGTGATTGTATTTCTGTTCAAGGGATTCGTTTATGGAATGAGCTGAGTCATGATTTTTTTTTAAAGTTTAACACTATAGAAGCCTTTAAAAAAAAGTATTTTGAAAGATATTGAGCTCTGGAATGAATGAATTATGCATTAAATTCTGTTTGCTTTCATTTATATTTTGTCTCTTATATTCACACAAAGGCGTAAATGAAATTGTAAACTCAAACTTACTGTTCATTTGCTGCTTTTCTTTCTTTTAATTCTGCCATTGTTTAATCGGGTTTGGCATTAAAAGTATTTTTTACTTCAGCCTAAACACTTTCACTCATGATCCATGGCAGAGGTGTCAAACTCAAATTCACAGAGGCCAAACTAAAAAATTGGGACTAGGGACAAACTGGGACAAACTAAATATTAATTGAAAAATTTCAACAACATCTGCATGTTTTCTCTTCTTTTGAGATATGTTAAATCTTTTCTTATTAAAATAAATGTTTAATAATAGTTTTTGCTTAAACACTGAATCCAGAACAAACAGAACATAAAATAACAACAACATTGTAAATAAATAATGTGTCTAGTGCAGGAGTCTCCAACCTGTAGCTCAGGAGCTACTGAGATCTCCCCACCTCCTTCCAAGGAGCTCGCCCACAATACACAACATTTCTGAATTTTGTGTATTGTACTAAATAAGTAAAATTTGATTAATTGTAAATGTATCATTTTGATGCCTAACTGTGCACTAAAAATAGATCATGGTTTATTTTTTATAGCCATCTAAAGCTCACGTCATGTATGTATACTCAGTTTCTTTGTGACTGCTAAAATTATTACAGTAGCTCACTGGAGAAAAAAGGTTGGAGACCCCTGCTCTATAGTCTATGTTTTTTTCTTTTTTTCTTCACAAACCCACAACCAGTCAAAAATAACAACTTCCTTGAACGAAAATCCAATATTTCAACTATAAAGAGTCAAAAATTATAAAGAAAACATTCATCCAGCTCAGTTTGTTAGACTCTGATTTACTCTGATCCTCAAGGTCCAAAGCAGAAACAAATACTTGGCATCTCTTCTTAGATACAAGTTCATCAAAGTAGTAGTAGTAGTAGTAGTAGTAGTAGTGCATGTGCCATACTGACACAGTAGCCGGTGGGCAACTCTAATACATATTTGAGCTCACGGGCTAAATTTGGCCCCTGGGCCTGAGTCTGATGTGTCTGATCTATGGGGTGTAGCCTATGTTTTGTTTTGTTTTATTTTGAAGTGCTGCAAAATGACCCAATAAAATTTTAAAACTACAGTTTTTTTCCTACAATATTATAACTAAGTAGGCCGAACTTATTTATATTTTTTCAGTCATTTTTTTTATCAGTATACATAGTATAAATAGTGAAAAGAGAGTGAAACATTGTGAATTCTTGTATCAGTCATGATCTGAGGAACTTCTGTCACTGCATTTTTTTTTGTTTTATGTTCATTTGCAAACAGAGTTTTGTGTATTTTGGCCAAACAAATTCAAATTTATGCTCCTCTTTACTGTCAGCGCAGATCAGATTAGTCAAAAAATGGTGATAGTCCTGGTTTAGTCTTGTTTTAGACCTGGTTTAGATCAAACTGATCAAAAAATAGTTGCACCCAGGATAAATAAATACTTTTTCGGCAGCAGCAACAATGGAACAAACATAAAAACATAGTAGTCCGTCATATTTCATTTATTATTTACAGCTACAGACTAAACTAAAACTTAAGTAATATAAATAAAATGTTTCATATGAGGATGGCCTATGCGTTTTAACATAGTATGACCATTTTCTCAGTATAAACACATGACAATAAATGACATTTTA